CACGTTCAGGTTGATTTCAGGTCCATTAGCATCTTTACATCCAGCAGGTCGCGTCGCTTCCCCTCTGATTACTGCTTCCTTTGTTCTCCAAACTACTGGTTCTGAATGGGGAACATGACGGGGAGGAGGACAGCCACACAACATCTGTGTGTGTGTGTGTGTGTGTGTGTGTGTGTGTGTGTGTTTGTGTTTCAGCCTGCTTACATCATGTGTTAACACTATCTTACGTGTGGAAACTGTGTGCATTTTTTAAAATCTAAACTCATATATAGATATGTGTGTGTGTGTGTGTGTGTGTGTGTGTGTGTGTGTGTGTGTGTGTGTGTGTGTGTGTGTGTGGCGTCAGCGAGCGTCCTTGTCTCCTGCCCTCCGATGGATTTGACTCTTATGTAAGGGCTTTAAAACAGCAGGGGGGGGTGCAGATCGCTGTGACGCTGGCACGCCAACGGCACTCGGGCCAGTGGTGGATTATGGGAAGTAGGGACAGAGAACAGGGTGGACACACACACACACACACACACACACTCACACTCACACTCACACTCACACACCACACACTCACACACACCACTCACACACACAGCGGCTCGAGGAGGAATGTGCTACTTCACTGCTTCCAGCGGCTTGTTCAAATAAGGGAGCACGTCCCTCTAAAAACACACACACACTTGCCACAAGGTCCAATTTGGGTCTGAAGAGGAAGTGGGGAGGTGGAGGAGGAGGGAGGGAAGAAACAGTGGGGTGAGGAAGAGGGAGGAGGGTTAAGACCAAGGACACACATGCTCTTTGACCCCAGAATGGCCTCTGGCACCGGGGCGACGCGGCAGCCGGCTAATAAGCGCAGAGAGGTTGTACGAGTGTGTGTGAAACAAAGAGACTCAAAACAACCGATAACATGACGGATGACAAAGTGAACAGCTGGACTACAGACATCCAAAGATCCACAATATATACGCCTTTCCTCCTGTGGCTCAACGTACAAATACCACGGCTGCTCTGGGACTTTCCATATTTAAGGACATTATGAAAACAACATGGATTATTCTTTTTTTTAATCTTTGGACCTCTGAATATCTGCAGTTGAGCCCCAACAACCTCTGGCTGAACCTGAACCATAAATTAACTGAAACAACACTTTGGTTTGCTTGCGAAGGTTTCTGCTGACTGAGTGTCCAGTAAACGTGTTTTCTGAGTTCCACTCAACAAGTCTGAGCACTTTAATGACCTGAAGGCTTTAATGTAATTTACCTAGAATCAGTTAACTGCCTGATTTTCTCTGTAGTTGGGCTAAAAACTGCTGAACTCTCGTACAGTGAAACAGGTCTGTTAAATTCACCGTTTTCTTCACAGAGTCTGGTGTAAAAGCAGCATGCTCCAGTGGCCTGACCCGCCTGCAGTGTTGATCCAGTCAGAACCGAGCAGTTAAAGGTGGACAGACAGAAATAAAGCCCCCGCCGGAGACTCTGAGAACCAGGACAGTCCTCGGCCTAGTTTTGATGTCCCACAATCCTCGGCTCCTCACCTCTGTGACCGCTCTACCAAACCGCAGTCAAAAAAAAAAAAGCAAGTTTCTGTGGCAACATATTAGCATTTCATTCCTTGCACTGTGTTTATGCTAACACTGTAGCATAGACCATGTTAAATTAATGGTTCAAACCTCCAACACTCACCGTCCATTAAATCCGCTAATTGATCCGTCATGTGACTTTTGTTTACTTGGCCCGACGGGCTTTTAACAGCAGCGTGAAACCGAAAAAGAGCCCAAATACAAGAATGCAACCAAGTCAACTTTTCCACTCTGAAAGCAAGCAAAGAAAAACCACCGAAACTCTGAGAGCTGGAGGACGAGACGGAGTCGATCCCAAGGTTACGATCCAGTGACAGATACAGACAGGCAGGCAGGCAGACAGACAGACAGGCAGACAATGGGGAACAAGGCGACTCATGTGCAGACTCACTAAAACGGGAAATAAAGTTTCATCAGGCGACATAAACAGAACATGTTTGCGTTTACAGACCGACGGCGTGTACAGAAAGTCATCAACACACCGGTTGGTGGATGTGAGGGAGGAAACAATAGTAAGAGGGGAGGAAGAAGGAGGAGAGAGGAGAGGAGAGGAGAGGAGAGGAGAGGAGGAGGGGAGGAGGGATGGCAAGGGGGAGGCGAGGATAAGAGGGATCAGAGAGGGAAGGAAAGCAAGAAAGAGGTAACTGAGGAGGGATGCGAGAGAGAGGGAGGACATAAGGAGGGAAGGGAGAGGGGAAGGAGGGAGAAGACGTAGGAGGGTGGGAGAGAGGAGGAAAGAAAGAGAGGATAGAACGTAAACACAGAGGGAAGAATGGAGGAGGAGGGTCACCTCTCCATCATCCCTCCATCTCTGCGCTCCCTGCAGCATTTCTCCTAATAGGATTTTCTCCCTATTATACCCCATTGTAGTGTGTGTGTGTGTGTGTGTGTGTGAGTGTGTGTGTGTGTGTGTGTGTGTGAGTGTGTGTGTGTGTGTGTGTGTGTGTGTGTGTGTGTGAGTGTGAGTGTGTGTGTGTGTGTGTGTGTGTGTGTGTGTGTGTGTGTGTGTGTGTGTGAGTGTGAGTGTGAGTGTGTGTGTGTGTGTGTGTGTGGATCAAAGTCGCTTCATCTGGAGGAGTTTCAAGTCCAACCATTTGATCAGTGTGCATGAGAGTGAGTGTGTGTGTGAGTGTGTGTGTGTGAGTGTGAGTGTGTGTGTGTGAGTGTGTGTGTGAGTGTGAGTGTGCATGAGAGTGAGTGTGTGTGTGAGTGTGTGTGTGTGGTGTGAGTGTGTGTGTGTGTGTGTGTGTGTCTTTTCTCAGAAGAAGATAACTGGATGCAAAAAAGACGCAGTAATTGGCAACGCTGTGTGTGTGTGTGTGTGTGTGTGTGTGTGTGTGTGTGTGTGTGTGTGTGTGTGTGTGTGTGGGGCTATCTGTAGGGAGTAAATGCAGGGGAATGTGTGTGTAAAAGGGTGTGGATGTGTGTGTGTGTGTGTGTGTGTGTGTGTGTGTGTGACCTATATCCCCAGCCATGCAGAAATAATGCGCGCACTACGTGTGTCAAAACCCACACCCACACACACACACACACACACACACACTCTCCACTAAGACACAGTGAGGTCAGGGGAGTGGATGGGTGGGGCTGCCCGGTGTGTTTTGGATCACAGTGAAATAACTCTGAGTATCTGAGCATCACATGAGTGTGTCGCTGCTCTGCTGCAGGTATCTCTGTGTGTGTGTGTGTGTGTGTGTGTGTGTGTGTATTCGTAACGATATGGATCAGGGTGAACGGCACATTGTACTTTATGCTAACACAGACCATGTGAAGTTACAGGTTTCATGCTAATGCATTAGCATAACTCCTCCAGCTCTGCTTCCTGCCTCAGACACCTCATCTGAAGACCTGCAGCCACGTCTCAGGAATCCCAGCAATGTGGAGGCTTTCCACCCGCCCCCCCGCCCCGACCTGGTGTCAGACACAGACCGCCAAACCAGTTACTCGACCTCCGAGGACCTGGAGAATCCCCCGCCTCAGGAAAGGTCGCAAGAAACCTTAAACTAGAGTAAAGCATGAAGCTCATCACACAGGCAGGCTCCTTTATTGTGTTTAATAAGAGAGAAAACCAGCCTGAAACTATCACCGTTAGTACACAGTGTTACAGGACTTCAACTTCCCATTAAGAAAAATGTCTATTCTAAACGATTCATAACACCCAAAGCAGAGTTTTAGTCTTGAAGGGAGCAAAAAGAGTTTATGGTAACTACAGAGAAACATCCTTAGAGCTCGCTGTTGACTGGGCAGCACACACACACACACACACACACACACACACACACACACACACACACACACACACACACACGCGCACACACCTCAACGTGTGAAACTCCTGCAGCTGTAAGCTCAAACATCTGGAGGCTGGTGGAGGAACAGTGACCTGACAGGAAGACACGCGTCTGTCTGTCTGTCTGTCTGTCTGTCTGTCTGTCTGTCTGTCTGTCTGTCTGTGCGTCTGTCTGACTGACCAGAACAAATCCACTTCCTCTCTCGTCATGTTTTCCACTCGTCCCATCGCGACGGAAAGAGGATGCTGGAGTGTGAATGTGCAGATAAAAGCCCGTAACGTAACAGAAATGTAGAAGTTCAAAGTCAAACTGCTCCGCTGCTATTTTAAACCCATCTTCCCTCCTCACTCCTCTTTTTCTGGATGTTCCTGCTTTTCATCTGAAGCTTTAAAAGCTCTAATCTGTAACGTTTCCTCATGAAACAGCTCTTACTCTACGTTCTATGTGTAGAGCTAATATTGTGTATGCTATTATATTCATCCGATGTTTGGATCTTAAGTTATCAGAGAAACAAGCCGAGCTAACGTTAGCGTGATATCACACTGTATGTTTGAATCTCTTTGACTCTGCATTTTAAACTGAGGCTGAGAACAAAAGCAACTCAGAGTAATGAAAGACAAACAGCAGCAACCACACATCACCCTGCTGTCCAAAACAAATACCTCACACACACACACACACACACACACACACACACACACACACACACACACTGATCCGTCCTCCCCCACTGCTTCAGTCTCCACAAACAGACTCTCTTGGTGAAGGTCTCCACTGTAAAATCACATTATGTTTCTGCCGCAGTGTTTACACTCAACAGACCACAACTGAAGAGTTAAAGACACGAGAAACTGTTGGTTTGGGGTCCCACAAAGGGCCCCGAGATAAACCTGAGGGGTCCCACAAAGGGCCCCGAGATAAACCTGAGGGGTCCCACAAAGGGCCCCGAGATAAACCTGAGGGGTCCCAAGAGTTATAAACAAAGAACAAGTTATAAACAAAGAAACAATCTCTCGTTCACACTGAAGGGGCGATAAAGGCTGACAGGAATCAATCAGAATCTATATGGATCTCTAAAAGCCTCCAGCTGACACCTGTCAGGTGACTGCAGACAGGTGTGTGATGTCAGACAGGTGTGTTACCTTCAGTGCTTCCTCCGTTCATGCTCTCAGTGCTGGACTGGGACAGAACCCGTCTCTTGCTCCACTGCAGGGATCGCTCGGTGCCGGGGCTCCCCACCGGGCTGGAGGTGGACCCCCCGTCCCTCCTGGAGAAGATCCCGCTGAAGAAGCGGACCAGACGCCTCTCGCTGGAGCGGCCTCCCCCTCCCCTCAGCAGGAAGCCCCCTCCCGACCCGTCCTTCTCAGCGGCCAGCCGCAGCAGGTCGCTGTTGTCCAGCGTGCGGTTCTTGTTGCCCCGCACTCGCTCCCAGCGGCTCAGCTCAGACATGGAGTCCGTCTTGTTGAGGACGGCGCCGACCTCCAGGGTCCTGCTCTTCTGCCGGGTGGGGTCGAGGGCGAGGCGGGGGACCGGGGGAGTGACCGCCGGAGCCTCAGGGTCCTTCTCGCAGCCGTCTGGGGCAGCGTCACGGCCGATGCAGCCGGAGCTGCTGTGGTGTTTGTCTTTGGAGAGCGCGCGCAGACGCAGCAGCTCGCCGCCGCTCCAGTGCCTGAAGCTGAAGCTGCGGCGCAGGAGGCCGGGGGGGCGCTTCAGAGGAGGCGTCTCAGGGGAGGAGGCTTTGGCTGCTTTGCCGTTGCTTTTAGAGTGAGACATTTTCCCATCGCCGTTCAGGTCGGGGCTCCTCTCCTCCATGCTCTTGGCTTTCAGGAGTCTCTTCTTCTTCCTGCCGTTCTCCATGGCGCCGTCTGTTTGTGGAGGTTCAGTGCACAAATCCTCTGTAAGCCTCCCTGAATCCACCACTTCCTGCCCCTGAGAGTCCTCTCTGCCGAGCTCCGCCACCGGGCTCGTGGCCTTTTCCTTCAGCTCTTTCTGGAGGAGGTGTTTCCTGGAGATCTTCAGCCTCCCCAGCTCCAGTTGGCCCGTGCTGAACGTCCTGAAGTTCCTCATGTAGCCGTGCGCTGACGAGAACTCGTCCGACTCGTCCTCCACCTCCTTCAGCTGCTCCAGCAGGCTGCCGCGCTGGACCTCCGTCGAGCCCTCCCTCCGGAAGGCGCTCACCTTGGGGTTCTCTGCCCGTCGGGGGCCCGGCCCGCCGTCCTCATCGTCCAGACTCTCCCTCTTCACCAAGGTGAGGGAGATCCGGTACACGGTTTTCCTCTGAGGTGTGCCCCTCTCCATCCTTTCAGTGCAGTTGCTGTCCAGAAGGTACATCCCTGATGAACACTGCTCCTCTTCAGCTGCACCCAAAACGGATCCAGGCTGTTAGAAACCCACAGAACTGATGCTCCAGTGCTGCTACAGTATTTACATTAACAGAGGGTTTCTGCTTTAAACGGGTTTAAATGTAAATATGTTTCTCCACAAACGGGTTCAACTGCACCAGAAACAAAACGCTACGGGGCAATAACCGACTCTCCCCTCATCCAGATGTGCAAACAGCGCGGACTTTAACGCAGGAAATACATTCCGTGTTCATCCCAGCGAATTTTAACCGGCTACTAACTGCCCGGCGATCCCCGGCGTGTACAAACACTTTCTGCCCGGGCAGAGAAGTCCTTACCACCGGGAGTCCTCCGCCGTGGGTCCCGCCGCCAGCTCTGGATCCTGCTCCGGTATCCTCGTCTGCATTACAGACCAACCGAGCCGTGAGTGTTTCCCCACCGCTGCGTCCCGGACGGTGCCAGCGCGTCGTCTCCCATTGTGTGCGCACATCCCCCGCAGCGCCCCGCAGCTCCCCGCAGCACAGCCGAGCCCTCTTTCACCTCGATTGTGATTCAAATGCTGTTGGATTTTAGAGGCCAAGACCCGGACCCTCCCCTCCCCTCCTCTGCTCTGCTCCGGATCGCTCGAAGCTCCCTGACAGCGACACAACGGACGGCAGCCGCGGTCCCGTTCCCTCCTCCGCACACTGAACACACTCTCCGCTCCTCTCTCTGGCTCTCTCTCTCTCTCTCTCTCTCTCTCTCTCTCTCTCTCTCTCTCTCTCTCTCCACACACACACACACACACACACACACACACACACACACACACACACACACACAAATCATGCACAGCAGCAAGAGATGATGGGAAAACACGGAGCGGAGTCTCAGCTAAGGACTGGACCTGGGTTTGGAGCATTGACTGCATTAAAGGAGAAACCGTCCTGGAAGCAGAACTGGGTCCGTTTGGGCAATTAGCATCATTAGCATTAATAAGCACACATATGGACAATATTTCCGCAATGTGAACAGTATTGGAGGTTGGGGTTGGGTAATGTGGCCACTTCAGGTCCAAACGACCTCAATAAGCTCCAGAACCTCTCTTATACTGTTAATATAGCTGATTATAAATGCTTCATTACTCGTTTGTGTCAGCAACTTGATCAATAAAGTCGATTCGAACCCAAGATGGAGATATATTTTTTAAATGAACGGACACACTGATTTTAACAGACACCTGAAACAGGCAGATTGAATAAATTAAGGCTGCAAATGACCATTATTTTCACTGATTTCTGATCGCATCAATCCTTTCTTAATTAATCGATTAGTTATTTGGTCTCTAAACTGGTGAACAGAAGTCCTCAAATCTCAGTTTGCTGTCAGAGGACCAAAGAAACCTTAAAATATTTTCTCACACATTTTCTCTTAATTAATTGAACAATAATTTAGTAGAGAAATAATAAATTGATGGTTTGCAGCTCTGTTATTGATTATTTTATTAGTCATTCGGCTTTTAAATGTCCAAAAACATGTTCAAATATCAGTTGAAAATTAAAATATATTCAGTTTACTGTCACACAAATTAAAGAAATGAGAATCTGGATCCCATAAAGAAGATCAATCTGCGATCAATGGATCAGCTCTGGTTGTATGTAGGTCAGCGGCAGCGTCACACATCCAGTGTCCGGTTCGTGTTTTCCAGCCTGCAGCGGCCTCAACAAACAGGGTGGAGTCTGCTCTTCCTCCCCTCTGTCTGTCAAGATCTTTAAAGCCTGCAGGCAGCCACACACACACACACACACACACACACAAACACACACACACACACACACACACACACACACACACACACACACACACACACACACACACACACACACACACACACACACACACACACACAAGAGATACCTGCAGCAGAGCAGCGACACACTCATGTGATGCTCAGATACTCAGAGTTATTTCACTGTGATCCAAAACATAATAAACAATAAAATACAGGACAACATGGATTACTTCCAGGATATTTCCAGGTGTCTCCAGGATCAGAAAACTAGTCTCTACATTTACAGCTCGTCCAGGTTTTTGTTTGCAGAACCTGTCACACACACACACGAAGGTCTTTTACACTCAAACATGGGCTAGTTTTTCACTTTGCTGCCATTCGACGAACCTTTTTACATTCCACCGTCAGCCTCTCTCCTCTGATCCGCTTTTAATCACTTTCACTCATCAACTTTCACACTCTGTGTTTCTGTGTCGTTTATAATGTTCTTCACAATCAGGAAGCCGACGGTCTGCAGCTCTGTCGTCGCTGCAGCTTTAAAATATTAAAGGCAGTAGTGAAACCTGACTGATGTCATCTCTTTGATCGTTCACTAAATTAAAATCTATCTTTAAAGTCGAGTCCTGAGTGGAAACTCAGCGCTTTCTTTCATCCTCCAACTCCACCCGTCCTCTGAAGTGTCTCCCTCCATCTCAGAGGAGGAGGAGGCGGGTGCAAGCGAGGGGGAGATTAACTCCTCCTCACCCAAAACTCGCCTCCTGACGCCGTCTGGATTATCACTGGGATTAATCGAGATTAGAGCTGCAGCCGACGGCAACTTTCTCCCTTCACCTCGCCACTTTTTGGGTGTAACACACACACACACACACACACACACACACACACACACACACCTCTCATCTCCTCTGTTCATTTACTCCCACTCTTCTCTCCCTCCATCTTTCTGTGTATGCCCGGGCGTTGCCTGTGAACGTGCCGCGCCGAACATCAAACGCACCTTCAAAAGGCCTCGACGTGACAACCAGGGTTCCCAGTCTTCCAAAGATTTTCCAGGAGTTTTTCTTGACATTTCAGGACAGCATTCGCTCACCAACAGTCATTAGCTTACTGGTCGGCCTAGCACTGATCCTAAGTCAAGTTTATGAAGCGTCTCAGGTTCATTACGAAGCATAAAGCGTTGCGTCTGGTAAACCCTGAGTGAGGTGCTAAAATACAATAACAAACTTCCAGGACAACATAGTGTATTTCCATTTTAATCAAATAGCAGGTTTTTCCATGACTGGAAAACTAGTCCAGGTTTTCCAGCATTTCCAGGACGAGTGGGAACCCTGAGGTCAGGGTTGAGGGTCTTTGCTCGAGGGCACTCTAACAAGAAGAGCTGTCACCTGAAAGCCGCTATAAAGAGCGACCACAGACGCTGCTGAATCCTCTGAGCAGGTGAGTGAACATCTGTAGGTCTTCTGGACCTGACGCCGATGTCCTTCAGGTTTCCGACTGAGGACGAGGACTCAGATCGGAGGCGGAGCAGGCCCCCCTTTATCTGCACGTCCTCTGTGAAATGAAACACGATCTGGTTGGAGGTAGTACTTCGTGGTTGAGGAAACAGCCAGTCGGCTGAGAGGTTTACGAGCACAATGCAGCAGTTTCTCCACGCCGTCACAAACCCCGACTGAGCTGAAATAAAATAAAAATGTCCGGCTTTGTTCCCGACTACCAGTCTCCCTGTTCACTCTGAGGATGATGCTCGTTACCGGTCTCACCAGAGATGGTCCGGAAGAGAGAGTGGAGTTGTTTTTGCCTCTGTGAGTTTATTTAGTAAAGTCAAATCTTCCACGAACGCTGATCAACTTCCTTTTGGAAAGATACAGTTTAATTATAAATAAAGAACAGAGTTGAGATCATCGCTTCCTGTTTTGGAAGATGTTCCTTTATAACGTCGGAGCAGGAGGGTCTTTGGTCCACACACACAAGGTGAGGGGCTGTGAGTTTAAAGCTGCCTGCTTTTTAAATTAAACGTACAAAATACATCTTATCTTTCAGCAGAGCGCTACCAGCAGGCCCCGGCTCCCCCAGGAGGAAGCAGAAACTTTGAATCAAAGTGGAGCGAATTGGACCAGCGCAGAGGTCAGCGGGCTTTAATCTGTCCACAGGTCTCTGGAGACACTGAGGTTGTTATCAGGACCTGCAGCTATACGACCCCCCCCACACCCCCCCAGAGTCTGTGTGATGCTGCTTATAGGAGGAGACGGACAGCAGCTGGAAATTTGAAATGGAGATCTGTGAGCACAGAAGGGTTAACCGGGGTCAGCGGGGAAGATAAATGAACAGCAAATAAACCCTTACAGGGCGTTGATCTTTATGATAATAAACTTTATGGATGATATTGATCCTGTATTGACAGTCAGACTGTGGACATATGACGGCCTTTAGCTCGTGTTTCTAGAGTTACGTGTTGTTACGAACACGTTAGGAATTGTTAAAATGTGATATTTCTTAAAGGGAGTTTGGTGCAGGGAGCTTTTAGTTGGATTCAAACTGCTGATATGGATCAATTTTTTAAGTTTTGTTGCCACTACAGAATCACTAGCTAACTGCTAAAGGCTGATCAGGTTGATCAATGCTTTAATAATGGGAGTATTGATTACTGACGCTGGTTGATCAGGATCATTATCAGCTCATCATGCTGTAAATGGTCGCCCTTGATATTAAAGAGTCGTGGTTTTTTGTAGAGAGAGATAATAATATGATAATAAAGTGATGGTGGAACAACAGGTGCAGTCTGGAGGAGGAGGAGGAGGAGGAGGAGGAGGAGGTGGTTACAGTAGGAAATAAGATACTACAATATGAAATAAGTCTAAATGCAAGAATAGCGTACAGTAAAGAGATAAATGATCAATAAATATGAGATTACACACGTCCTACCGGCCCGCAGACATTCTGTTATTGATGATAGAGTTTAAGATATTTAACTGCGTCTTATTGGTGCTTATTTCTATAATCATACATGATTTATTTCAGCTTTTCTTTCAGAATTCACCCAAATCTCTGCAGTCACTGAGTTCACTGTAGAAAAGAAATGACGGAGGGAAACAGGCCGGGAGTCAACCAACCACCACAGCTTCCAGGAGTCTGCCCCAAGATGTAAAGATATTGCGTTTATAAAAACACAGAGAGGAGCAGAAGATGTTCACAGTCGCAGCTCAACAGGTGAAAGAGAAACCGAGAGCACTCTAATCAAACATGGCAGGGTCGGTTAGCGTCTCCACACACACTCCACCTCATCTTCCTCCTCCTGCATCAAAGAGCCACGAGAAGCACGGCTCCCTCCTCCCTCCTCCCTCCTCCCTCCTCCCTCCTCCCTCCCTCCCTCCCCGCCGACACACCGCCTCACCCCCCTGGAGACGGGGGAAAATGGGTCAGTTAGCAGAGGGAGGAGGAGGAGGAGGAGGAGGAGGAGAGCGGAGGGAAGCCCCCTGCTGGCAGGAGGAGGCACGTACACACACACACACACACACACACACACACACACACACACACACACACACACACACACACACACACACACACACTGAGAAACACAGCAGAGACGCAGGGCTCATACCAATTCAGTCAGAGCTGAGGATTCTGGGAAATTCTACACACACACACACACACACACACACACACACACACACACACACCTTCTTCAGGCTAACTGGCTAATGCTAAGCTAACACGCCAATAAATCAATAATTTAAATAGTTCCTGACAAGTAAACCACGTTGTGCACAGAGGTCAAAGGTCAAAGGTCAAAGCAACGTATACAAACACGACAGCGTTCTTACCTGTGGAGGGCGACAGGTGAGTGACGGCGGGACATGGAAGGAGAGAAGAAGAGAAAGAAGCCAATCAGAACACGAGACACACACACACACACACACACACACACACACACACACACACA